TGCTCTTTGCATGCTCATCCTCACCTACCGAAACTAGTGGTGATCCAAAAAGTGACTGAGCAGAAAGAAAATCATTGGATAGACATTCTCCCTCCGAAAACGAGGTAAATATGGGAGTACAAGCGGTAGACTGGGAAAATCCAACCACTGAAATGTTAAAATATTTTTTTTTGAAAAATGAGCAACAGCGGGAAACGCACCTACTCCCTGTTTGACAGTACATTTCGAATCAAAGAACGAAGCTGGAATGAGGAATTCCGAAACCTGCCCATCTTTTCTGGTCATGAGCACAGGGAGCGGTGGATCTACCGTATTCTAGAAAAGGAGAGTCAAGATGGCGAGATCAACTAAAACCACCCACATCCTCATCTTCGAGTGCATCATTCTCCATAACGAAGTCAAGCCATTCCTCTTCACTTTGTATGATTGGCACATTTTCGTCCGGTCCTTCTTCTAAACGTGATGTTGTGATATGTGGACTGTGATGTTTCAAAGTTCTATCATGATCGAAACGTTCAGAGAATCAGTGAAGCTTTGGAATTTTATTTTGAGACTAGGGAGCACAACGTTAGCTCGGGAACTGCTAATGAAACTGGCAAATCGCCACCACGTTTACAGCCACGATCTGCAAATGATAGGACGTCTGACGGAAACATGGCATGGAGCGCAGCCAGATCAAATTTTCCACCAATTGTAGCGAGCTCATGATGGCATCATTGATGGGCGCCCTGCTGCGTCCCAATACGCGCCGCGTCAACACCCTGTTGTTGGCAGGGACCATGACTGCAAATAGGTCGGCACTGGACTTGTCGTTCGCGAACATTCTACGCAGCGAAAAGTGGGTGACCTATCCCCAAAACCCCTTTGAGTGATTTGGTATGAGCTGTGATTGTGAGAAATGGTAACAGTTTTATCCTTTTGTGTTTACTTAGTGCAAATAACGGACAGTGGTCTACAAATGGATGACAGGTTGGAGCAGTATGCCTCACACTACTGAAATGGAATGACAACGGCTACTTTCCAGTCCCTGGAAGGCGTCTTCCGATTCATTGTCTGAAAAAATTGATACTAAGATGTAAGGACAATTTTTTCAGCTTTTCCGAGGTTCATTAGTATCATCGGTCCAGTCAGGGAAGTTCCAAGAGGACTGGAATGAGTCCACCTGCGATGCTTCCTTGAGTTGTCGTTTTCTTCCTAAAAAGATCACTAGCTGATAACTATTGGTAGAAAAAAGGCAGCCTGAGGCGAACTCATGACCCCACTCCTGACACCAGAGTCAAGCATCACGCTGAGGAAAACTGGCTCGTCAGCATGACCCTCTTTGAAAGTAGGTGTCAATACGATTCCTCCTCTCTTCTTACTTCAATGAAAAAGAGAATGAAACAACAATTCAAACTTCGATGGAATATAGCGCAGTGACTTTTCCTTCAGCTGTGTCGCGTGCCCGCATGGAAGCGTGCTATTTCAGTGGTCTTCTCGAATGGTTGTGACTTCCTTCATACTTCGGTAATACGTGTCAAGTGACAAGGCGAGACACTGGCGCTGAAAGAGTAGAAGATTTTCACCTTCCCTTTCTCTAGGAATGACATAAAAACTTTTTTTAAACTTATTATTTTTTTAAACTTCAGAAGCAAAGTTCAAATATGGGTAAGATTCGAGATTCGCGCTCAAATTCTGTTACAATTTCAATGTCATCTGGAGAATAAGCAAGTGTTCTCACCAAATAGGGTCCTCTTCATTCATTTACTAAGTCTTCATTAGCTCCTCTTTCACCATCACTCACGTTGTTTTGTCACGGCTCTATTACCTGCTGACCCCTCCAAATGCGGCCCCCTCCCTTTTTCAACGAGCCGAATTCGACCCCTCCGTTGAGGATTACTCAACGGATGCTTGACTCTGCCTGACAGCGCCCTGACTGGTTATGACGATATCAGCGATACCATACAGGAATGGAAGACAAAAAGGTTATATTGGTCAGTGAATTCTCTCACATGGAATGGCGAGGTAAACGAGTATTGGGTTTCATTCCGAAGATTTCATCTCGGAGAACGACCCCCTGACTGCACCTTTAGAACCCCTTCCCACCCGTGGATTCCCCAAGGATCATGTGCTCTGGATATGAGAGACTGAAGCTCAGAAAAAAGCCACTTCGTTGGGCTCACTCGTTGGGATTGAAGGGTTACTAGCGTCGTGATTTCTTGAGGAGTTTCTCCGTGTTACGATTAGAAAGCTGCATGATACACCTATGTAGAGCAGAAATGTGTACTCGGCTGCAAAAGCAGGGGCCCTACCAACACGCTCTTCGAGAAGTGGAAGAGGATTTCTGTGGAACTTTATTATGTTCGTTTTTTTCTGAAGAAACAAGATGGCCATTAGAAAAGTGAAAAAAAACGAAATAAGCGACTCACGATTGGATCGGATAACACAGAAGAGATCTGTTGACGGTAGAATGGATTCGCCACGATGAAACAGTACGGAATCATGACAAGTGGGTTCAGCTGCGAGAGATGCACGAGCAAAGCAGAAGAGCACCAGCCACAAGACGAGCACCATAGCTGCCTGCCTGGAACCCTTGTTTGTTGCCGGTTGCTAGGCAAAAGCGTTCCTGACGACCAACGGATTTACAGCGAGCTGGAGGTCATTTGCAACTGCACGTGGGTCAACCCAGTTTATAGGTTTTTAGGTTATAGTAATGAGAAAATC